TAGGGAAAAAACAGCAGCTGGGAAGGCAGGCACCTTGACTGTGAACTGAGCCGGGTGGGCAGCAGGGAAGGAAATGCAAAATGGAACTGAACAGAGCACCTGTGGATGGAGGAAGGCAGAGGCCTGTGCTGCCCAGGCCTGTTCCACAGTGATGCTCCCAAACCCATCTCTGCCCACCAATTGTCTCCCCTAAACAAATGACAAGGAGCATACAAGTGCTCTTAGAGACATTTACAAGGTACAAAAGCAGGGACGCAAAGGAGGGAGCAATTGATATATTAGGTTGTCAGGAAAGTCATGACATATTTTTCTATGCAAAAATGCATCATGACGTTCCCGACCACCCAATACCAAGCACAACGATGAGCAGGACACAGCCAAGTGCCTGGGGAACTTCAGAAAGTATCATATGGCTGAGTCCCAGAGACGCTATGTCAGAGACAAAGCTAAAGGGGCCAGCTCTGTGGTTAAGCACTGTGCCTGCAGATACAGATCCCACATGGCCAACTGTGGTCCAAGCCCTGGCCTCGGTAGCTTGAGGAACACACTAGGCACATGTGCATGCACACCAAAGGATTATGGCGTGACCAAGCCCAAGCCCCTCCCTCTCCCTTTCTCTCTCCTTCTGGTGAGCACATGTATCCTCTGGCAGTAACAAAAAAGGAAAGAAAGCTAAAGACTTATAAACTAGTCCATAAGGTAAAAATTCTCTGAGGAACTCTAACCACGTTTGCATAGAAACCAAGTTTAGATAGAAACTTCAAAAGAAAACAATGACCCAGATAAGCTTAAACCAGTATAAAGTAAAACAAGATATCCACCTAATGACTGCTGATTTCTTTTATGAGTCTGAATGTTGGGTCAGACCTGTAGTGCAGTGGGTAAGCCTTGTGCACAGAGAGCTGGGCCCCACATGGCCAACTGCGGTTTGAATTCTGGCCTCACAGGCTTGAAAAATATGTCAGGTACATGTGCCCCGAATCTCAACTGGATGGAGCAAGAAATTAGGGCATGACCACACACCACTGGAGGCTGCTTTCTCCCACCTTCTTCTCTCTTTGCCTGTGTGTCTCTGTTTCTCTCTCTCTCTCTCAGTCTGGTGAGTACATGCACCTTCTGGCAATTAAAAGAAAATGTATCTCAAGAGGAGAGACTGTAGGAAGCTGATCAAGAGCAGGCAATGAGGAAAATGAATGGTTTGCTGACAGTAAAATAGAGAAAAATCTGTCCACATGGTTCATATAATCCTCCAGTGATCCAAGGCACAGTGGGAAACGTGGCCTCTCCATACCCACCTCCAGCCTGAACCCGTAGCTGCAGGGCTACCTTGACTACAGCAAGGTCTCATTTCATTTGGTTTATCTGGTACAGAAACCACACTTCGCAATTTGAGCAAGACGGTGGGGGAGAAGGCCAGCAGGTGGCATGGTGGTTAGGGTGCTGGACTCCCACATGGCTGACCACAGTTCAAGTCTCAAACCCAGCAGCCTGAAAATCAAACCAGGCATGTGAGCATGTGTGCACAAAATCATGAGAGGAGAATGGAAGAGAAGGGATTGTAGCATGGCCATCCCTCCTGGGGGGATAATTTCTCACTTTCTCTCTCTCTGTCTCTCTCCAGTGAGT